ACCTGACGGACCGGTACGGGCGGTATTATTCGAAATTGCATACCTTGATTTAAACAGTCTTTATAATTGCATAACCATCCCTATGTGTTGGAAAATATGAAATATGAAGTGTCATTATCAATAAATGAGATAGTAAATTATAATATTCATGTGAAACAAATAGGAAGAGAGAAGGAGAGGGTGAGAAAAGAAGTTAGATATGGGAGGACAAAGAGCACTCTCTCTATTTCAAGAGATACTAAGAGCTAATAGCTCGAAACACAAAAGCTTGATAGGGTTTCAAAAACTAGAATGCTCCACCAATCTTACTTCCTTCCCCTTTTATAGATCCCTTGTACATTGAATTCCTCGACCACCTAATTAATGAATCATAATTTACTAAAAGTCAAGCATAAATTACAATACATATTAAATTCATGGTGCATTGTACTTTGGCGATTTTGAATTTTCATAATTATCTCAAGATATGAACCATTTTCCTCAAATTTGATAGGGTTAAGCTTGGAATTCATTGTCTTGGAACTTAGGAACTCACTATGCACTGCATCATCCTCCCCATGTGAGAAAGAACTCGTCCATGAGTTGTCGTCATTATTTTCATAGTAAACTGATAAATCCTAAATGTTAAATGTGGAGTGAGTGCGAACGTTAGGAGGAAGTTCAATCTTATAAGCATTGTCATTAATTTTCTTGAGAACTCAGCAGGACCAATTTTCTTCTCTTTGAGTTTATTGTAAGTTCTTGCCGGAAAACATTCTTTTTTCAAGAAGACCCGAACAAAATCTCGTTCTTCAAAGATCTGCAAACAACGATGCTTGTTGGCCTTTTTTTTGTAAACTTGGTTGATAGCTTCAAGCTTCTTATTTACTTCTTCATAAATTTTTGTCATGATAATAGCAAAATCCTCTCCCTTTGAACTTGATAAAGGTGATTCAGATACCTTAACAAGATCAAGATAATAAGGTGAAATACGACCATAAACAATCTAAAATGGACTCTTGCTCGTAGAACGATTAACCATAGAGTTAGAAGCAAATTCAGCACGAGGTAGCATGAGATCCCATTGTTTTGGTCTTTTTGCAGCAAAGCATCGTAGCAAATTGCCCAAGGTTCTATTGGCAACCTCAGTTTATCCATTTGTTTGAAGATGATACGCACTACTATATAATAGGTTGGTGCCAAATTTCTTCTATAAACTTCTCCAAAAATGAGTAAGAAATTTAATATCTTTATGTGATGTGATAGATTTAAGAATTCCATGAAGTTTGACCACATCATTGAAATAAAGGTTAGCAATATAAGAAGCATTCATAGTCTTTTTGCAAGGAATAAAATGTGCCATTTTGAAAAATTGATCAACAACAACAAAAATAGAATTTGTACCTCTTTGAGTTTTCGATAGATCAATCACGAAATCCATACTAATGTCTTCCCAGGGAGCATTAGGAATTGGTAAAAAAGTATATGCACCAAGATTCTGAGTTTGCCCTTTTGAAGTTTGGCATATTTTGCATCTTTTCACATAATGTGTAACATCTCGGTAGATTGTAGGCCAAAAACATTTCACTTTGATGAGAAATACTATTTTATCTCTCCCAAAATGACCTTCTAATCCACTAAAGTGCAGTTCTTAGATAATATACTATTTTAGAGAACATTTAGAAATACAAAGTTGAATTCCACGAAAGAAAAAACCATCTTCAATAACATAATCTTCATGATGACTCTTCGTGCATAACTCTCATGTTTCTCAAAATCTTCATCATTAGTATTTCTTATTGCATTAAATCCTTTTAGTTGGGCACACATAGTATTAAGAAGTGTCTATCGCCGATAAAGTGCATATGCAACCTTCTTACATATTCCATTATTATGCTTTAAGACAAAAGTATACTCTTGTAAAAATGTCACCCATCTTGCATGTCACCTATTGTGATTTGCTTGAGAATTTGTATGTTTAAGAGCGTCATGATCAAAATTTAAGATAGATTCTCTTTTGATTAAATAAGGTCTCTAATATTGTTGTGCTTGAACAATAGCATAAAATTCAATATCATAAGTTGAATAGTTCTTTCTTGTATTGTTAAGCTTTTCATTAAAGAATGCAACCGGATGCCCTTCTTGGCTAAGTACTCCACCCATACTCACATGAGAGGCATCACAATCAACTTCAAATATTTTAGAAAATCCGATAATGTAAGAACAGGAGCAATGGATAATTTCACCTTTAGTAGTTCAAAACTATTGTTTGCCTCCGGTGTCCATTGAAATACTTCTTTATTTATGCAATCAGTTAAAGGAGTTGCAATAGTACTGAAATTTTGAATAAATTGACGATAAAAGGATGCCAACCATGAAAACTCCAAACATCTTGTAGGGATGTTGGTGTTGGCAAAGTATGGATAGTTTTAGTCTTCTCAGAATCCACTTGGATACCTACAAGGGTTAAGATGAAGCCTAGAAAAGCTAGGCTAGAGGTCATGAAAGAGCACTTCTTAAGATTTACATATAGCTTTTTTACCTTCAAGGTTGATAGGATAGTTCTCAAATATTCAATCTGATCAAGTTTATTGAGACTATAAATAATAATATCATCAAAGTAAACAACAACAAACTTCCCAATATAAGAACATAAAATTTGATTCATTACCCGCATGAAGGTGCTCAGAACATTTGAAAGTCCAAATGACATAACTAGTCATTAATATAAACCTTCTCGAGTCTTGGATGCAATTTTCCATTCATTTCATGGTTTAATACGGATTTGTGATAACCACTTCGAAGATCAATTTTAGAAAAAAATTGATATCCTGGTTTAGCACCAGCAAGCATATCAAACATATCCCCCACACATGAAATAGAATATATGTACTTGATGGTAATTCGATTGATAGCTCGACTGTCAACACACATCCGCCAAGTTCCATATTTCTTTAGAGTTAATAGAGCTAAAATGACGCATGGGCTTAAACTTTCCCCAATATAACCCTTGTGCAGTAGATCCATAACTTATTTATTCAACTCTTCGTATTCTTTTGGAATCATCCAGTAATGAGATTTGTTTGGAATGATTGCTCCTAGAGTTAGATTGATTCGATGTTGAATGTCTTAAAGAGGAGGCAAACCACTAGGAAGTTCTTCAGAGCAGATGTCTTTGAATTCCTCCAAAATTGCTCCTACTTTACCAAGAAATTCTATGGGCTGCATGCATTCTTTAGTACCTGACATAAATACAACTCCACTTTCTTCGCTTTTTCTTGTCAACTTATTTAAAGTAAGGAAGTTGTTTCCTTGCCTTCGGGTTAAAGGCTTAGGAGTAAATTCCGCTAGCTTTTGTTCCACGAGCAGAGTTAGCTTTAGTAAAGGAACATTAGAATGCCTCTTTGCTCCACTTTTAGCAAGTTTTGCTTCAACTTTTAGCGCTAATTGATAAGCATCAGATAACTTCCATAGTCGTTACATCTCCACTTCATCTCGAATCATAACTCGTAGGCCATCGACAGATCTTGCAACAAGTTGTTCTTTTGTCTCTTAAGTGTTATTTCGGGTCATCAACTTGTAAAATTCTTCAGTGTAGTTGATGACGGTTTTGCTACCTTGCTGAAGATTGTTATATTGTGAAAAAAGAGTTTGAACATAATTAAATGGAAGAAAATTCTCACAAAGTCAAGATTTCATCTTCTCCCAAGATGAAATCTTCATCTTCTCTTTCCGAAGGCGCATCTCTTGCACCTTGTCCCACCAGATTGAAGCATAACCTTAAAGCCTATAGCAATTAATTTTACTTTTCGGTCTTCAGGTATCTCCTTGTAGTCAAAGAATTTCTCAACGGTACTAAGCTAATCAAGAAACTCTTTAGGTTGAAGTCGACAAAGGAACTCCAGCAAGTCAACCTTGATGTTGTCATTTGCACGAAAAAACCTCTCCATGGATAAGTCTCCTACAACTTATT